AGAAATAATCAAGGGGCTGTCCCGATACTTCCCACCCCTCTCCGGAGATTTCCTGCCGTTGGCATGGCAGGTGCTATACCAAGCTTTCCTCTAGGTCACGCTGTCCCGTTTGCCTATGCTCACATGTCGAACCGCCAGGCATCTGTWTCTCATCGTGTAGATTGGCGTGCACACTTGGAGTGGAATACTGCAACTCCGTCATCGTAACAATGTTGTACAGGCCGAGCGGTTTGAGTTACAATTGCGAGGTGTTGATCAACAACCTCTTGAACCAGGTATGGACCCCCTCACTGTTCGAGGAGTGATTTATGCCATTGTTCATTTACCTTCTGGTCGTTTTTATGTTGGACAGACGATGCATTCTGCACACCAAAGGCTGCAAGAGCATTGGCATACATGACACTCTTCCGCTGCTTTTCACCATCGCCATTTCTACAGCACAATGAGTGGGCAACCAGCATTCAACTTYGCGGCTTGGCCCCTGGAATGCATCGATCCTACCCTGTATCATACGTCTGGAGGTCTTGTTGATCATGGCCTCTTCCGGAGGGCTGCTGCACCCCGCGAGGGTTTTTGGGTTCGAAAACTTCGAACGCTTCACCCAGTCGGTTTCAATGCAGTCCTTCCAATGGCAAGATTGCCATCTCCACGGCGGCATTTACGTCCTTCCTGATGGACACAAATGGGCCCTCAGTCGTTCGTTCCTCAATCCCCTTTTGCTCAGCCCTCACCTGCTCCACCTATTCCTGCATCAACTAATCCTCCTCACACATCACCCTTTTTGCCAACACCCGTTGGCTCCCATGCTGCACCCCTTTTGCCAGCACCCGTTGGCTCCCATGTTGCACCTCTTTTGCCAACACCCTCTCGGCCTTTACCTCTCCTCCCAACGCCTTCGCCTCTGTCATTTGTTATTGATCTTCGTCCAGGTCCCCAACTCGTAATTCGTACCTCACTCCATCGCCTTCTTAATGACGCTGCTTCGGGTAACTGGTGTCGTGTCAAGGCTGACATTGAGCGGGCACAACCAGCATGGCGGGCACGACTTTTGCAATGGCTTTATAACAATGTTTCCAATGCGGACATGACARCAGACATTCGAGAACTCGAATGCCTCATCCGAAAATCCCATCATACCCGCCATCGTTACACAGCACAACCTCGTGATCCATTTACGGACCATATTAAGGTCGTACATGTGCATGAGGTAGTTCGTGCCACGAACTTGCGCCATGTGTTGCAGTTGCCAGAAGTAGCTGCATTGCACCCTAACCCTCAAGCGGCCGCACATGTTCGTGTATGTGACAAGTTGATGCCACCCACACATGTCCAATTTTGCAACTTTACTGATGTGGCATTGAGTGTTGCTCCTGACATGACCTTACCAGACTCCTTGAACTGCGAATGCCGCAGGGCCTTTCCGCATTGTTCAGATCTTGTGGACGGTCATGTTGTCTCTGTTGATTACAATATCATCTCAGACGATAACCTTCGCAAGCTTTTTCAAGAAGGTTCTAAATATCGTTTGAACGGGGAGACTGCTGATGTGCTCCAAGCACTGGCGATTGGACTGGACGAGTACGTTGCCAATTACAAGAACACTTTTGCTAGACACTCTCGATCTGCTTCTTTCTCGTCCCTTTCTCAGAAATTGCACAGCTGGCGTTCTGCAATCCTTGGGCATTGTCAATCCAATGCGACTTCGTCTTCCAATCATGTGAGCCAGCAACATTCACTTCGTTGTGCACATGCCTCCTTACGCCATCCGCAACAACACTTTGCCATTGTCCCTTCCCACAATTTGGCAATTTGTTGCAAGAATTGGCATTTGTTTCACCTCTCTACCCATTTGGACAGTCCCACTTATACCCGTCCTCATGAATCCGTTGGTGATGTGCTCAACCACCATGCACTATGGAATCACCATTGGGGTTATACCCACACGGATACCCTGCCTTACCTATGCTATGTGTTGAAAGCCTACAAGTCTCCTCCAGCTCTTCGCAACATTCTTGGAGTCACAACACAAAACACTTGTCCTGTCCCCCCACGCACTCGCTCTCGTCCTTCAATTCGCACCATTCATTAACGGCCTCCTCACAAACCCTTGGCTAGCACAACGGCTACTTCGTCCTGTCTCAGCACTGCTTTGCAAGGCGTGATCTCTACTCTTCGTGAGAAAGACACTGAGCTCTATCAACAGGAAGGTGTTCGACGGTGCTGGATCGTCCAGAATGCCGATGAGGTGGCGATTGACCTGAAAAACAATGTGTCCTCTCTACGTGGCCTCTCTCCTCGCACGGTTGATTTCACCACAATGTACACCAACCTTCCTCATGACCGCATTCTGAATAATGTGGAGGTTGTTGATGAAGCTCATGCTTATGCCCTTCAGCATACCCGCATGCATTCGCGTTGCAGAGCCTTGAACATGTTTATTCGCGGGCCTCGCTCTGGCCAATGGACAACCAATTCAGGACCAGACAGCCTTTCCGTTTCTCAGATTCTCCAACATCTTCGCTTTGTTGTAGAAAACACTTTTTTGTACACTAGAGATGGTACTCTTCGAAAGCAAATCATTGGTATTCCAATGGGAACAAATGCTGGCCCAGAAATCTCGAATCTAACGCTCTATTGGGATGAAGCACGCTTTATTGATGACATTCGTCAACATGATCCCCAAGCTGCTCAGCGATACGCCTTCACTTATCGCCCCATTGATGATGTTCTTTCATGGGGGCAATTACCTCCTCCTTCAGAGCACTATGGGCTCGAGTGGAAGGAAACTATGGCTACAGATGGCTCGTGTACCTTTTTAGGTATGCATCTACGGGTACGTTCTGATGGTTCGCTTCGCATGAGCGTGTTTGATAAAGCGGCTGCTTGGGATTTTCCTGGTATTCGCTATCCAAGTGCTACCTCCAACATCCCTTCCCATCAACCGGTCGGTGTGTTCACTGGGCAAT